AATATCCCTAGAGCTCATACCAAGCCCTTGTGGTGGGGGAAGGTGGTTGTGGTCTCTGGGGCTTGCATACCTCCAGCAAACGCTTTCCTGGCCTGCAGTGCCCCAGATTCTTATTTACAGAAGAGCTTTCTTTTTTTTTGTCCCCCTGGCAGTGTAAAGAACTTCTACAACAAGTTAATGGATGTAAAGTGTCCTTTTTTTCCTGCCCACTGCGAGGCTGAGTCTGCAGCTCCTCAGGGGGCTGTAAGTCTGAACAGGACCTGGATGTTGGAAGCAGCGCAGCTCCCCAGCCTGCAGGCCGGGCAGCACCTCCGGATTTCAGTGGGTTTTTTTGGTTTGCCTTCTTTTCCTTTCCTCTCCTTTTTCTTTCCTAAATTCCCTGCTGGCACCTGTGGTGCCCCTGCTCTGTTGCCCCTTTGCTGGATTGGTGCCGGGCGCCGCGCGTGTCCCCAGAGCTGCCGGGAATGCCGTGCCCGGAGCTGCCGGGAACGCCGTGGGAGCGCCGGGAATGCTGCGCGGCCGCCTCTCACTTCCCTCTTTCCCAACGCGCTGGCAGCACCTCCCACCGGCAGCAGCTTCCCTGCAATGAGGCAGTTCTGTGGGCAGCTGCAGGCAGGAAGGCAGAGGCGCCCGGTGAAGGGACGTTTTCCACAAACCCCGAGTTCCAGCCCTCGATTCCCTCCCTGCGGCCGTGCTCAACCCAGCCCTGCGCTGGCCCTTCGCCCCATCGAGCGCCTCTGGGTGAGGAGGTGCAGGCAGAGCCCCTGCCTCTCCCTCCTCAAACCCTGTTGATTTTCTGAGCACTTTGACCTGCTGCATTAGCACGAGGAAGCGACAGTCCTGCTTGGGCAATGAGTCATGGAAATCTGAAGTCCAGCGCACGACTCAGGCCAGCGCTTGCCCTCTGTCTGCACTGTCCTTGGGTCATCGCCGTCACGGCTTCATGTCCACCACATCCGACCCGTCACTAGTGCCCTGTGCGCGTATTTCTTGCACTTACATTGTGCCCGGTGTCTTCTGTCCCCTGTCCCAGAGGATCCTGAGGCTCCAAGGAGTCAGTGGGAGCAGCGGTGCGGAGGGACCCGCTGGGTGTCCGTGCCCGCCTGCGCTCCGAGAGCAGCGGCTGCTGCGGAGGCGGCTGCCTGAACCCAGGTGTGCGGTGTCCATGCGGAATCACGGAATCATGGAATCACAGAATGCTCAAGGTTGGAAGGGACCTCTAGAGATCGTCTAGTCCAACCCCCTGCACACGCAGGGTCACCTAGAGCACGTGGCACAGGGCTGCGTCCAAGCGGGTTTGAAGATCTCCAGGGAAGGAAACTTGTGCCAAGAGCGTGGGCATGTGCAGAAATTGGTGTTTCCTCAACTTCAGCAGGTGGAAGGAAAACACCAAATTCTGGAGCTCTCGGTTTGGCCCTGGCACCTACGTGAAGCTGCACGAGAAAGAAATCCCGTTGTAAAAGAACAAAGAAATGTCTGTTACCTGTCTTGAAAAACTTTGGCCTGGGGTGGGAGACCCCAGGGTAGATGTTTCCTTCTGGGGGGCCACAGGGTAGATTTTTATTTCATTTTTTTTTCTTTCCTCCCACGATGAATTAGTTTTTTTGCAGAGAGCAGCAAGACAGTAACAGGAAGAGCCTTTGGTGTTTAGGCAGTACATTTTGGTAACTGGGCAGTAATCTACTCTTCGTTATGGAATAACTTTTAGATAATGTAGTCAAAATTGCATCCTGGCCTAATAAATGGAGGTTTCAAATATCAGCTGTAAAATACAATGCTGTAACATCAGGAGATAATTGCCATGAGATCTTTCCCTGAGGGAAGGGGCAGGATAGCTTAAAATTCCTCCAAGATGCAAATAGTAACAGGACTTTTGCTAATGCTCTTAACAGGTCTGAACACAGCATATTCCTCTCAGAATAATTGGTGTTTTGCAGCATTTTTACAGAAGGCGTTTCAGACTGGCTGTGCGACTGGTGAAAGAGCAAGCAGAAGCCGATCAGCTCTGCAGTGCAGACCCCCCAGACTCTGTGTTTATCGCTGACTTCCCTCGCTAGATCCCGAGCGTGGCTGATCCTGAGCCCAGGATTAGAGATTTGCTAAGTGCCCCTCTGGAAGCCGCAGTCTCCCGGTGACTGTGGATTAGGCACTGGAAAACCTGCAATGGGGCCCGACGCTCAAGCTGAGAGGAGAATTTCTTCGCGCTAGGCCAGGTCCGTAGGTGAGGAGATAGGGAAGCTTCTAGTCAAGGTGGAAGAAATATTAGAACAAGCCAAAGGAGCTGGTTTCAGGTGCTTAGGAAACACTGTACGTTACCACCCTTCCCCAAGTACAACCGCATCTGTGAGGACTCTCCGGAGCAGCCTGTACCCGTGGGCCTTGGCCAGCTGCTCCAGCAGCTGCTGTAGCTGGCACCATGCTGGCAGAGCAGGGAAACGAGGCACAGGGACGTGCTCGCAGGGAACGAGATCCCCTGCACAGGTAAAGCCCAGCTTGGAGGAAACGTCTGCCGCCGCGCCGAGACTTGCAGCGGGGGAAAGGAGCTGGCACCCCGGCGCTGGCCCCTGCTTCCAAACCTGCTGTGCTGTTGGCCTCCGGTGCATCTTGTGGCTCCCTTCCCGCGGGATGGAGGTCCGAGAGCTCCGCCGGCCCGGCAGGAGCCCCCCGGCGCTGCCGGGAGCGGGGCTGGCTGCGGAGGGCACGCGGTGGGGACGGGCAGGTCCTGCCGCACGGGCCAGCAGCCCTGCAGCTGCGCTGACGTCGCTCCGAGTCACCGCCTCGCTCTGGCCTGGGGTTGTTGCTGTTCTCCAGAAAAAAGCCCGGCAGTGTTTCCAGCCCGCCCGCTGGGCATCTCGCCCGGGTTATCAACGCGCTGCCCGTTCGGTGGGTTGGCAGGAGAGGGGCAGGAGCTAACCCAGGGCCCGACGAGCACCTCGGTGCGCGAGTTCGCTGTCGACACAGGCAGTGGGGTGTTGCTGTAGCTGGGCAGCGTGTGTTTAATGTGTATTTACGTAGAATAAACAAGCCTGGCAGTGTCATGTGCCAGTGCCACCAGTGCCGGGGACATGACAGCACTGCGTGATGATGTGATTAGTCTGGGAATCAGAGGGGAGCCCCCGGCTGCAGGCGGAGAGTGAGCGGTGGTGGCGCGAGGCCGGCTCCTCGTCCTCCTCCTCGCGGGGTTTGACAGCAGGGTGGTGGAACACAAGTGGGCTCCTGGCGTCCTTCCTAGCAAGGAACACGTGGCGGTTTCTTGCATCGGGGAGTCCTTGTGCTCGGGGAAGGCTCACACGCTCGTTTGTACCAGCCATTCGGTCCTGCCATCCCATTTAGTATCGTAGGGTTAAAATACTGCTTGCAGGCTCCGTCATTCATGTTTTGAAAGCTGAAGAGTAAAATAATGTAGCTTCTTCCATAGGGGAGACACTCCTTTCAGCATATTCAGTGTTTTTAGGCTTGTCCCAAATGATAAAAAGGTGTCTTGGCTTTTGTAGTGTTATCTTTCAATCACAGACACACATTCTCTCTCATAACGTCTCTCTCTTCTCTCAGTGCTCATAACTAACAGGAACTCTGTTTCAGGTTTTATATGTGCAACTAAGCTTTAGAATTTTAAATGAATATGTAAAATACATCTTTGTGCATCCTATATAAATATGCAGCATTGCATAAAATTAGAAGATACATAGATATATTTCATTTGCGTGTATAATACATATTTACAGATTATATATGTGTAAGTATATGCATATTAATCTATATTATTTTTGTATACTATGTAAATGTATGTGTGTGTATACATATATAAGCACATATCATAATGCAGAAAGTGTTTTAAAATAGCTGATATTTGTTCTTATGTTCTTTGCAGGAGAGATTCCAAGTGAAAAACCCGCCACATACCTACATCCAAAAACTCAAGGGCTATCTGGACCCCGCGGTGACCAGGAAGGTGAGCAGTGCCCTGCTGCCCCGCGCGCGTCTCCGCTCCGCGCGCCGGCTCCTGCGCCCGCAGCCTGCGAAAGGCTCTGGAGAGGCTCTCCGAGAGGCAGCAATCGCAGCGGGAAGCAGGGAGAGGTCGGAAAGACCTTGCAGCTCAGTGAGCAAGAACAGATGCGGCAAAGAAAAGGAGCATCTGACAAATGGAACAAATGGTTTTAATAACTTCAGGTTCAATAACTAGTCTAACAAACTCGCGCCGAGGTCTGCTCTAGGCCTTGCACTGGCACTAATCCACCCGCTCACTCAGACTCTATGAGGGTTTGCGAGGCGCAGCCTGGAGCTGGGCTGCCTCGCTGGGCCTTGCCGGTGCTGCTCACCACAGCTTGGTTTGCAGTTCCCTGCCCGTCACGCTGCAGCGCCCGGGCACGCGCGGCTTGTCCTTGCCCGGCGCCCCTTCCCC